CCTGTCCCGGCTCTGTTGCAGGGTAACCCTCTGGGCATTTGTGTCCCCATCAATAAAATGGGTATAATGACATTGACCTCCTTTATGAAGCATTTTGAGATCTGCTGATGAAGACCAGGGGACATAATATATATTAGACCTCACTGACTTGAACCACTATCACCACTTCCGTGGAAGGTGGAAGGAGCCCCTAAGTGGACACGCCTATGCCAGCACTGATTGGCTATTGAATACATTTGAGGAGGCGGCTATCAGTGGCGTTAAGCTGAACACTATTCTACTTTGAGAACCTGAATATGCCAATGACATTGTCCTGTTGGCCCAGTTCCATGAATCGATGCAGCTGAAGGTGAGCTGATCAGGTGAGAAGCCGCATGAATTGGTCTGGCTATTAACCCAGATAAAATGAAGTCCCTGGCCATTAGCATCTAACAGACTTCAGCTCCAAATTAGAAAGAGCTCAATGTTCACCCGTCTGGACTGTTAAATATTTGGGCAGCATCATAGACCGTCCTGGAAGATGCTTGAAACATGTGGGTGCCTGTAGCTCATATAGCAGCAGCAGCTGCCGCGTTTCAGGTCCTTCAGGGGTCTCTGTGGGATTATCATGACATCAGTCTTGCTATGAAACTGTGGACATATAGAACCACAGTTATACTGACTGTGTAATCTGGAAGTGAAATGTGTGTGGTGCGGAAGGACACCGGACTGATGCTGTCGATTCTCCTGATGTTGTCGTCGTTTCCATCAGCTGTTTCATATCAAGCAGCAGGACAAGATCAGAAATGAGGGTATTAGAAACTGACCTCAGCAATCGCCTCCATCAGGACTGGTTTGAGATCAGCAGCTTTCCTGGTAGGGAAGTATTATAAGATCGAAAGACCAACGAATTCCAAAGCATGTGTAAAAAGAAATGCTGCTAAACCACCAGCAATTATGTGGGAGCCAAAAGCTTACAATTGCCAGTGATGGACATAAAAGGAGTGTGCAGTCAGACCCCTCGAAGTATCTTGCCAGAGATTGACCTGGGTGGCGCTCACTTTGCAGGGGCCATGTCCCTTTGGGATTAGCCATTAATTCAAATCAAATAGAATTAAGGTGGACACTTCTGCAATATGGGGACATTTCTGACTCCAGGCCATTAGTGATTGATTTGTGCCCTGAAGCAGAAGGGCACAGGGGTAGAGCCCTTATATTTATTTGTTTATCCTGTCTAATGTAACTGGCTCTTTTTATGCTTAATATAAAGATGGCCTGATTCTTAGGTCCCTTTATATCAGTGCAAAGGGCCCTGTTTGGAAATCAGAATCAGGCCCGTCACCCTCGGCCTCACTGACATCCAGCGGCAGTGAGTTCCCCTGGCTAATTCTCTGCTGTGTAAATTTTGGTGACATGTTTATGGCCGTGCCTGCAATGTGCCCAGTGCTTTCCAGAGACGCGAGAAGGGACCGTCCTTGCCCTGAGGAACTCACAGGCTAAGGATGGACATAGAGACAGGGAGGGGCCAGGAAAGGGGAACAGCCAAATAAACAAATGCCGATCAGCAGATTCACTAGAGACAGCCCAGCAGAGAGGGACTGAAGTGTGCACAGGGTTGGAGCCTGTGGGATTGGCTGTGAGAGGTCGTACCATGCATAGACGCCTGCCTGGAAGGGGGCACAGCAGTGGCTGTACCAACTGCAGACAAAGCTGGGAAATGGGCCGAGAAGGAGGCCTGGGGCAATTGTACAGAGGGCAGATAAGACTGATGACATGGGTGGGTGCAGATGACTGCCCCACTCCTGCCAAACAAGGGTAAGAGCTTCCCTAGAGAGGGCTGCAGCTGGGAAAGGCGAGGCTGATTTGGGAAGCAGCCACAGCTGTGGCCATCTTAATCAGGTTCCAGCTGGCCCTTATAGGAGGGCTGTGGGCCTGAAGCTGAAGACAGAGTCTCTCTCTAGCAGTGGAGAGAGAAGGGCCTGGCTGCCTGGGAGCTGAGCAGGGTACCTAGAGTGGAGCAGGGCTGGGGGAAGGCCAGAGGAGCTGGGGAGCTCCAGCCTGGAAAAGCCCCAGGCTGCAGGCCTTGCTAAAGTCCGGGAAGGGTACTGGGGTTGCAGAGGTGCCGCCCAAGGCAGACAAAGGCAGCAGGTCCAACCCCCCCTTGCCAGTGATGAGTGGTTTACAGACCGCTGTCCGCCCCAGTGAGCAGGGGCTAGATGGTGATTGGCAGTAGCCACTGAGGCAAGGTGGGGATAGAGGGTTGGGGGTTCCCTGGGGGAGGGGAGACCCAAAGTGTGGGGATACTGCCAGAGGGCAGCACCCCAAGGCAAAGGGGCACCTGGGTTCGGGAGGGACCCAAGGCCAGCGGCAGGCGAGGCCATCAAGCTGGCAGAGGGCACTCCGGAGCTGGAAAAGAGCTAATTCCCTGGACAACCAGGAGGAGGCGCCGTTCTGGTGAGTCATCACCCCGCCACAGGGAGATTAGGCTGGAACAGAGAAGGAGGGGCAGAGTATTGGACAAGGGCAGACAAGGCCGGGGACGTGGGTGGGGTGAGGGGCACAGATGACTGTACCAGGGCAAACAAAACCAGAAGCATGGACGGCGCAGGGGCTGTGGCGACCGGGGGTTATGAAGCTCAGCCGGGGATAAGCAGGGAGCCTCACTGTGCCTGGGTGTCTGGGCTTTGCCTCCTGTGGGGCTCCATGGTTTGGTTCCAGCTGCCTCTGCACAGAGTTTCCTCAATTTAAACATTAGGGTCATTTCTGATGCGCTTCCTCATTCTAGTTAATTTTCCTCTTCCTAGTCCCAGAGCTAGTTCTGGGCACAGTTCCATTCTTCAGTGTGTGAAAGCTTATTACATAGGGTCAGATCCTTAGCTGGCATAAATGGGTGTATTGACATCAATGGAGTGATGCCAATTTTCACAGCTGGGATCTGGCCCCGTTGACTCCAATGGAAAGATGCTGTTTTATATCAGTGGGAGATCTGGCCCCCTTGTGGTCACTCTTAGGCCTTTTCTACATTATACTGGTATCAACTAAACTGTGAATTTAAATTGACTTTCTTATCCTAGGTTAAACACCCCTCCTGTGGATTCTCTTTGTCCAGCATAAGCATGACCTTTATTCAGTTTATTTATGTCACTTTGGAAGGGGTTTTGGGCTAAACAGAATGAATTTGTCCACATATGGTGTTAGAAGGGGATAACAAGACCTGTAATGCGGCATGAGCATAAGTGGTAACACTTTCCCATATAGAGAAGCCCTTAGTCAGTGGTTCATCTACAGTTACTTCTTAAACCAACTCCCAGCCTGGATTATGCTCCCCACAGATGTCTTTGTTTGGGTGGAGTGTTCCGCTGTGCCCTGCAGGGGGTGTTTTGCATTTCTGGGGGCAGTGCTGGGGGAAGGGAAGGATACACACTCGTCTATATATCTTGAGGCTGAAGGGCCAGAAACGTAGCGGGTATAAAGCTGTGTAACTGCGTTTACTTTCATGGAGCTCCATGAACTCATAGCAGCTGAGGACCAAGCCAATGATTTTTACTGGCTATCGGAACATATGGGGAAGGGAATATTGTATTACAACACTGATAACTTAGGTTCATGATCACAATGCCCTTGGACCTTCATGACATTTATTCTGAACAGTTCTGAGGGCTCTTACTCAGGCAGGGACTGGGGAGTTTACACTTGTCTCCAAGCAGCCACTCAAATGAGGCTGTCCTATAGGAAGAGGGGAAGAATCAATGGAGATAACACCAAATATGAGCCCCAGGAGAATACGGGATGGGTTTCACAGGATTGCAAGGGAGAATAGGAATTGAGAGGACTTTCAGCCAGAGGGAACGGGATAGACCGGAGAATCGTACCATCACCAGGAAAAGGCAGGTCTACGTGATTGGGGACTCCTTACTGAGAAGAATAGACAGGCCTGTAACCAGAGCTGATCCAGAGAACAAAAGGGTGTGCTGTCTGCCGGGTGCTAAGATACAGGAGGTGGACTTGAGGCTGAAGAGGATCCTAATTTTTTATTGGGGGGAGGGCAGGTATCAGGGAATGGGTTATGGTTCCCTTAGTCTCTGGCTGGTTCTATACCAACTCTGGTGCCCAAGGCATAGAACCAATGAGAGAATCGGGGCCAGACAGGAGGGTGACATAGGAGACATCTGTGCCGGCGCTACAGCCTCTGAGGACTCTCAGCTGGGGAGATGTGGCCAGTTTCAGTCCAGGGGGAGCTGCGCAGGCCATATTGGGAACATGACAGTCGAACGCGCTGGTCTCTGTTGGCTTTCACTGACTCTGGGACTTTGAGATTAACGCTGTCAGTGGTTTAGAGCCCTGTCTGGTGCCTTCTTACCTGTGATGTTGCAGAACACGTCCTGCACCCTGCTCAAGACCTCCTGGAGTCTGTCATGGTCCCTTCTCACCCCAGCCAGCTCCTTCGACATACTGTGCATTAGGTGCCTTATCTCTGTCAGGGCAGGCAGGGGGTAGAAAAATGCCACCGGAATCAACAGGTTGATATTTCTGGGCTGGTTCAGACCTTCCTTCACAGCAGCTGGAAATTTCTATGTGTCCATCCATCCGCAAACACACTCTCTGTCCCTATTCACAGCCTTTGACCTATCTATGCTCTGATACTGGAGTCGACCATTGTATTACCTGAGCACCTCTGCTATCCTGGGCTCGTTGATTTTCCTTCAAGCCAACCGTTGTATTCAGTGAGTGAATTTTTACCTCGGTAGGCTCACAATCACATAGCCCACACTCCACTTCTGCATCACAGGTCTCTTCTATGGAAGTCTAAATCCAGAGTCACGGCACTGACACCAGCATAACTAAACTAAAATGGGATTATCCATACAGGGTTACCTGCTCCATCCTCATACTTCCCCTTTCTCATCCTCCTTCTCTCCTTCCATTTCAGCTTGCCCTCCACACGGGAAGATCAGACCCAGGAGTCCCTCTACAAGGAAGTAGCAGTGATCAGGCGTTGGAACGAAAAGGATGTTTCTCACCTATGGCGTCCTGGAGATGTGATGGGTCTTTCACATGATGAGCTTGGATCTCCTCGATCCCCAGCCAGATCCTTGGACACTGCAAAGAACAGGGGCAGAAATCAACTTCTGCATCGAAGGGAGAGACCCCACCCATGTGCAACCCGCACAATTCTATTTCATCTGTTTCTTCAAGTCCCAGCTCCTGGATTTATGCAGTTAGGAGAGAGTCTCTACTTTCATTAAAAAAATTAATTTCTACTCTTCATGGTAGCAGAGAACCGCTTAATAAAGTGATGCAAGCGTGACCCTAAAGGCTCAGAAACCAGAACAGAAATAAATCAAGCGCAACATTTATTGTATTTCAAAAAAATTAATGATTTTAAAGCCAGTCTCATGGGCTTCGCTCATGATTTTTGAATGCTGGGGTTGGCAGTACAATGGAACTGTTTATGCCCAACCTCTTGAGAAACATCAGCAGAACATACCATTAAGAAGTCGACTGTTAAATACATTGAATTCTTTGGACATTTTGAACTCTAAAAGGAAGATGAGCGTTTCCATTTTAAATAACAACACAGGACCTCATGCTGCCCCACCCACACGCTCCACCCCTGAGGAGTGCTGGATAAGGACCATTCATCCTGGAGTGTGTGAAATTTATGGAGCAAGGGCAGTCGTTTGCAAGGATGTAAATGGGTTTCACTTATAGCTATTACTGATCTATATTACAGTGCTGCCTACAAGCCCCACCTGAGATTAGGGCCCCTTTGTGCCAGGTGCTGCACAAACCCGAACTGAGATTGAGTACCGTTGCTCTGGGCACTGCATAGACACAGAGCAAGAGACGGTTACAATACAAATAGACAAGAAATGTTACCCATTTCACAGATAGTGAAACTGAGGAACAAAGGAATGAAGTGACTCTGTCAAGGTCACACAGGGAGTCAGTGGCAAAACTGGGCACTGAAGCCAGATCTTGTGAGTTCCAGCCCATGCCTTAGCCACAACAGCAGCCAACCTCTGCTCAGCTGGGGCTCAGACCCCTTTTGGAGCAGTAGGATCTGAGCACTAACCCACTGTTACTGGGATGTTCTCAGTGCCCGTGACGTGCTCCATAGTGACACCCATCCTGTCCAGATGGGTGCAGGCTTGTTACAGTTGTGGAAGCAGAACAAGGCCTGACAGGGATTGGAAGGGAATTTCAAATGCAAACAGTCTTTGTTAGCAAGAGTCAGGCTAACTGTAACCCTAATAATGCCAGACTTGTAGAAGCGAGGATTGTGTGAGGTGAGTGGGAAAGAACTGTGTGAGAAGTTGTTGCGACCTTGTGTAGATCATGTGTAGATAAGATGGAATGTAGACTAGAGTCTAAATAAGTGAGAAAAATAAGATATCAGGATGACCTATGTATAAACAAAATGCAGCTGTTGCTTATTGTTGTCTGTAACAAAAGGTATAAATGCTTGCTGTAATTGTTTACCTGTAGAGAGACCTGCCTAGGAGGGGGAAACCATGTGTCCTAGTGCACTCTCTCCCTCCATGCAATTGCTTGAGATAATAAAGTATCTGACTTTGCTGCACCCAAAAAGAGAGTGAGAACTGTGGTTTTTCTCCGACACAGTGTTTAGTGTCCCAGAGGAAAATTAGGAAATCAATGTCCTGCGTAGGGGGACTGTGGTAGAAAGAACAGGTCAGACCCAGGACTGCATTGAGGTAATCCGGGGACATCAGGGACACCCAGCGTGGTCATTCCCATTGGCCCTGTCCCTGTAGAATGGTTTCAACTGTAGGTGGGTTCGCAGGGACCATCTGCTGGATGATTGGGGACCCACCACCACACTTCTCCCCCGTCCAGATTATTGCTTCCTTACTTCATTTAAACTGGGATCTGTCCTGGAGGACACAGGTCTCTGTTCCCACTCACCCAAGCAGTGGCTGTTTATGGGAGCCCCAGGCACATGCCTACTCCTGGAACAGACCAATTCCATCTATGCCAAGGCTTCCCCAGCAGGACAACACTCTCAGCCAATGAGACACTGGTAGAAATGTGACTTCATCAGAACAAAATCTCACTGAACAATCAGTGATCCTAGGAGCAGGACAATGTTGTCCAACAACTTCTAAGAACTGCTTCCACTTCCTGTGGTTGTCCCACGCCCCACAATAATCTAGAGTCCTGTTTTAGTGATGGTCAGATCCCCAGCTGATGTGTGTCTGCTCAGCTCCACTGAACTCCAAGGAGCTACATCAACTTTCACCAGCCCAACTCTCCCCTCCCTTGAGGCATAAATCCAAAAAAGATCAGTCAAGTCAGACGAGGAATAGAAACATTTCCTTTATCCTCTCGCCTAGATTGTCATGGCAATCAGATTTCTCTTGGAATCTCTTCTTATCAGATCTTGATCCGGCTGGGTTTCGGCGAGACCCCGGGACATTGTAGACATGAGAGTTTTGATGGCAGAGTAAAATTTGTCAGGAGGGGAAACCCATATCTGTGGGGACAGCCGTGCTGCTGTAAAATGCACTTTCCTCCCGGTTACTACCCCAGACTTCTGATGTCCAAATCCCACCGCTTTGAAAATCCTGTCACCTTAATTCAGCGGTGAGTGAATGTTACCTAGCAATGGCAACTGCTCCATAATTAACATCGCAGCTGAGCCTCCAGTCTCAGCCCAATTTTGTGCTCCACTGCTAAAATCCACCAAAATTAGTCAGAACAGCCTCACTCTTGGCAGGTGAGATCTGAGGCCTAGGTAGAAACGAACAGGAGACTTTCATTTCCCAAGGTTCACTATGATGAGAACTGTGGCCACTGCAATGCAAATCGCCAGCAGGAGATACAGGATCACAATGGCCTTCCCTTGGGCGGAGTTGGAGAGGCAAAGAGCTGTAGGAAGCAACACTGGTTAGATCTCTCAATGCAGGATCAACCCCACCTAACATTTACTTTCGGGGGAGACTCCAGGCACTGAACATGGTTTCCTACAGGAGATGATAACTGGACAAGGGGAAGGGAGGGATTCACCATAGGGTAAATACCTTGAGATAGTTCTCAGTCTTCCCTGTGTTCCATTTTCCATGTTGGGAATCGCTCTCTCTTTTGGCAATATGGGCAGGGCAGGGTGAGTGTTACCTCCAGATTGAGAAGCCCCTGCCTTAAAGGCAAAATGAGAACCCTCTCAGGCACTAATGGGAAGATATGGGCAGGCTCACAGGACCAGTTTTGTCCCTGGAATAGTAACACTGAAAGCACTGGAGTGACCCAGGGATGAGTTTGCCCCATGATAAAAAATGATTTTATGTGGATGATGGGAATATCCAGATTTAACCAAGACGCGAATTGGGAGAGAGAGAGAGAAACTATCCTGATTGTTGGCACCGGCCAACCTCAAATTAGCAAAGCCAGGAATCAGACCCAAGCCTCCTGACTCCCAGGGCAGCTCCTTAATCACAAGCCCACCCTTCCTCGGGCCAGCTCACCTTTACCGCCTCTCCCAGGTGCACTGCTCTGAATTGTCCCATTTGTGGTAGCAGCAGTCCAGATGCATGGCTGTGGATGTCTCTGTTCTGCTCCTCTCGGCGGTGCACTTTATATTGATAGGAGCCGTCATCATGCCTTTCCGGGGGAACGGATGCCTGTGGTCACACTTCCCATTGTCACAATTGTCAGGTCAGGGACCTTGGCCCAACCAGTTCCTCTCCATGTCAGTACAGAATCATAGTGTTGTTGGGATATGTATCATTGAGGCCTGGTATGAATGACACAATAGGTCAAGGACTATTAGAACTCTTTGTGCAAAAACAGTCTTATGTTCCAAGAAAAATATAGAAAATCATCGGACAAGGAAATAACACCAGCTGGACTGATATAAAATTATATAAGAATTGCAGGAAATGGCATGCCTTGGGTCATGGAGGCCCGCCCAGGATTATTTCTCTGGAATTTTGCGAGTAGAAGGCCTAGTAAACAAAGGCAAAGAACCCATGACGCGACTGAATGGACCATAAATGGATGCCTGTGATTTCTGCAAGTCGGAGTTGTTTATTGATCCAGAGTGCCATGTGGATATAGATGTGGCTTTGCCGGCTCCCCGCATCTTATGATCTTATCCTGATGGAAGGAAACTAGACTGGCAATTGGGACCATTCTCACCTTTGGACTCTGGTATAGTATGTTTTGGGTGTGAATGTGAAGTGAGCAAGGTTTGTTTTGTAATCCATAAAGAGTATTTAGAGTATTATATTCCAACACTGTGTCCAGTATCTGCTTGCTCCCCATCTCGTAGGGAGACCTCTATTGCGAGTCTAACAAGTGGTGGAGAATGCGGAGCGGGGGGATTTATTAAGTAGTGCTGGATTTCGAGATGGGGTCTTACAGTGTTGGGGGAGTCCTTATTTAAGACTAATAAGGGTGACTCCTTTTTGTGAAATTTGTAAGAAATTTGTGAGGGAAAAAAATGTGTGGGGAGATACCGCATGCTGTTAGTGTAATGATGTTTAAAACATTGTTTAAGAAATGAAGTAAAGGGGGGAAAGAGGAAACCCAGTGGACTAAAGTTAAAGTCCCTTCTCTGTTAGAGAAGGAGATTAATGCATTTGGGACATGCACTTGGATGCAAGGTGCAGTGGAACCAGATGTAACATTTGATACCTTAGAAAACAGATTTGAGAAAGATGTACAGATGTACAAGCCGAATGCCAGTAAAAAGCAAACTGCCGTAGTATGGCTGTTGTGGCAAGCTGTAAAAAGGCAATTGCATGTAAGGGGGGAATACTTGCAGAGTTACGAACATTACAAGAGAATTTTAAAACTTGCCAGGAAAATTTGGAGTGGGAAGTGAGGCAGGCACAGATAATGCAAACTCAGTTAGAACAAATGGGAAAACAAAATAGGGAATTGGAGAAAAGAATGATGGATTGGGAAAAGATTAAAGCAGACAAAGATAAATTAGATCATCAAGTGATAGTAATGAAACAGTTATTTTGAGATTTGACTAATGGAAAGGAAGAGGAGATCACAAGCGTTTCTCACAGTTGGTGCCAGAAAACTATAGCAGCACTGAAAAATCAAGTGAAAATACAGGAGATGCAAGTTGTGGCTGTGTGTCAAAAAGAGAGATTTGGATTCGGATTTGGATTCTAATGATATTTGGTAAGCAGAGGATCTGCGAGGGGGTTAAGAGAAAAGGGAATTTGACCAACCTCGAGAGGGGCTTTATACTAAATTGAGGTAAGAGATTAGACAGGCAGCAGATCAAATGAAAAATGTTTTGGACAGGCAGCCAGAAGCACATCAACTGATACCATGATTTATTATGCTGTTAGGGAAAGATAAAGGTCAAAGACCCATGAAGGTGTTATCCAGTGCAGATCATATGGAGCCTGGAGATTCATCCAGGGATTACCTGTTAAGGAGAATAACATTGAGATTCTTGGCTGGAGAAATACAACCAGTGACTAATCCCAGGGCGGAGGTCACCAAACATGTCACACCTGATTTTTTGATGGCAGTTGATTTGACTCAGAGGGAATTATGGAATGATATGTTTGAAGGATTGGACAGAAATTTATTAGTGATGTCTACTAATTTGGTGAACCAAGCAGCCCAGGATGAGGGGTTAACTGTTAAGGATGCATTGGAGCACTGGATAGAATGCCAACAATTGATGAAAGGTGGAAGCCAGGTCAAAGGATTGAAACCCAGAGTACCTTTTGTTGAAGCAATAACATATTTAGATGAGAGTGTTTCTAGATCAAGATACCGTGAGAGAGGAAAAGGCCATGGTAGAGGACAAAACACCCCACCCCAAGAAGGTAGAGGGTGGAATAATCAAATGAGCCCCAGAAGGGAGTAGATGTGATTCAGAATATCGCTTGGAGGTATTGAAATTGAGGGGAGTAGATGTGGATAAGTGGGATGGGAGACGTGCTGATGAATTGATGAAAGAAATGCAAAGGATGGAAGAAGAAATGTTTGAGGAGCAGAAAAAGGTTGCAGCTATGCAAACTGAGGGTTCAGAGAACCCTGGTCTATAGGGAAGCCCTGATGATGGGTCCTCAGGAGTGGGAGTTGGTAACTAGATTAAGATGGGATTCAAATGGAAGGCCTAGGACAACTGTCATTGTGGAGATAATGGACCCAACGATGCCCTATTGGATCATAGAATCATAGAATATCAGGGTTGGAAGGGACCTCAGGAGATCGTCTAGTCCAACCCCGCTCAAAGCAGGACCAATTCCCAACTAAATCATCCCAGCCAGGGCTTTGTCAAGCCGGGCCTTAAAAACCTCTAAGGATGGAGATTCCACCACCTCCCTAGGTAACCCATTCCAGTGCTTCACCACCCTCCTAGTGAATTTTTTCCCCCTAATATCCAGTAGTGGATAGTGGGGCATGTGTAAATATTGTAAATATAAGTTGTGATTTGACTCAGTATGTGTCAGAGATGATGACAGCAGCCTCCTTTATTGGGGAAGGAGTGACAGGAACAGTGTATCATTCAGCAGAAATAGCTATACCCAGAGAGAGAGTGGGGGATTTTTGTTGTAAAGAACAAATGCTTCAGACAGATCAGGCAGCTGACCCAGTAGTATTGGGGACTCCTTTTTTGGTTAGTTTTGGATTTAACTAATGGAGTTCTGTGGCATGTGCCCGGCTGGACGGAAAGTGTCCTGAGAGCAGGGTACGTTCCAAGAATATGTGCTGCAGAAGCAGTGGAGGAGATTATACTGGCTCAACAGGATGTGGGTAAAGGAGTTTCCCAATGTATGGATTAAGAATAAAGCAGAATGTGGTAAAATCGAAGCATGTGTTAAAATCGTGGGGCACGAAGTGACACCACAGAGACAATATAAATATCCTGTGCAAGCAGAGGCAGGAATTGAGAAAATAATTGAATCATTAGAACAGGGGTGGCTAACCTGAGCCTGAGAAGGAGCCAGCATTTACCAATGTACATTGCCAAAGAGCCACAGTAATACGTCAGCAGCCCCCCATCTGCTCTCCCCCCTCCCAGTGCCTCCCGCCCACCAGCAGCCTCGCCAATCAGTGACTCCCCCTCCCTCCCCGTACCTCCCAATCAGCTGTTTTGTGGCGTGCAGGAGGTTCTGGGGGGGAAGGGGAAGGCGCGAGGGCACGGCAGGCTCAGGGGAGGGGGTGGGAAGGAGTGGAGTGGGGGCAGAGCCAGGGATTGAGCATTGAGCCCCCCCGGCACATTGGAAAGTTGGCGCCTGTAGCTCCAGCCCCGGAGTCGGTGCCTATACAAGGAGCCGCATATTAACTTCTGAAGAGCCGCATGTGGCTCTGGGGTTGGCCACCCCTGCATTAGAACAACAGGGAATGATTGAAAAGGGAATTCTGCATACAATAGCCCAATTTGGCCCCTATTAATAGCCTCAGGAGATTGGAGATTGACAGTGGATTTTAGACAAATGAATAAAGCTACCCCCCGCATGGCACCAATAGTAGCAGATCTACCTCACGTAATGGCAAGAATACAGGGGGCCCCTAGATTTGGCAAATTGTTTTTTCACTATCCCGTTGCATCCCAATTTTTGGGCCTGCTTTGCGTTTACTTTTAAGGGACAACAGTACTTATTTAAAATAATTCCCTGTTGCCTACACTGCACTCCGGCTATTGCGTACCAATATGTGGTGCAAATGCTGGATCAATTATCCAAAGAGGATCAGGAGAATGTCACCTCATATGTAGATGACATATTAGTGTGGGGAGACACTGAAGAGGAGGTGACTGAGCGGATTAGAAAAGTGTTGAGACTCATCCAGGAAACGGGTTTGAAGGCTAACAAAGAGAAAGCCCAACTAGTGCAGAGGAGAGTGAATTATTTGGGGGTGACCCTAGAGGAACAAGGAATTCAGGTAGATCAACAAAAGATGAAATCACTAATGAATTTACCAAGGCCAGAGGAGTCTCAGGCATTGAGGGTGATGTTAGGAGGGTGTCACGTTATTGATTTGAACTGGGACCATATAGAACATGGTTGCAACCAAAGTCCTGTAGTGGCACCAAATCTTGTTTAAAGGGGGTCAAATGAAGTGTCTAAGACAAGGTTATGGTTGGCTGTTTTTGATTATGCTGTCTATATGTGCGTATCAATTTTGTAGTTGAAGTTATAAATATTGGCTCTATACTGTCTGTATTTCAAACTTATGCTATGCTTCCGGGAAACTCCCCAGACAAGTTGGTGTTAGCTCTGCCTAGCCTGCTTGATGGCCCATTAAGGACCATCAGCTATACAATTGACCAGTTGAGAGAAGGCAAATACACCTTGGAACTCAGCAAAGTATGCAGGGACTGGCCCATGTGACTCCAGACTCCATTTTGCTGTAATTTTCCACAGTAAGGACAAAGAAATGTTCTTACACCTGAAGGAGACTATAAAAGGCAGCTGCAGCTCCTCCATCTTGTCTTCAATCCTGCTTCTTACCTCTGGAGGGACTGTGCTACAAACAGAAGCTCTGAACAAAGGACTGAATGACTCATCCCAGCTGGGGATGTATTCCAGAGACTTGATTTGAACCTGCAGTTTATTCCATCACTGCTACAAGCCTGATCCAAGAACTTTGCCATTACTGTATGTAATTGATTCCATTTAACCAATTCTAGCTCTCATCTATATCTTTTTCCTTTTATGAATAAACTTTTAGATTCTAAAGGATTGGCAACAGCGTGATTTGCGGGTAAGATCTGATTTGTATATTGACCTGGGTCTGGGGCTTGGTCCTTTGGGATCAGGAGAACCTTTTTTCTTTTACTGGGGTATTGGTTTTCATAACCATTTGTCCCCATAATGAGTGGCACTGGTGGTGATACCGGGAAACTGGAGTGTCTAAGGAAATTGCTTGAGTGACTTGTGGTTAGCCAGTGGGGTAAGACCAAAGTCCTCTTTGTCTGGCTGGTTTGGTTTGCCTTCAGGGGGTTTAACTATTTAAGGAAACACATCTGGAATTTTACCACTATAACTGGACACTTCTGATGTTTACTAAAAAAGAAAGTAGAATGGGAGTCGGGGTCTGAACAAGAAAAAAGTTTCTGTAATTTAAAACAAGCCTTGATGCCAACTCCAACATTGAAATTCCCAGAGTTAAGCAAGCCATTTGTGAGTAAGTTGGCAGCAACCCAACAAAGTCCAGTAGTGATATTGATACTGGAAACTGACAGGAAGTTAATACTGGTAGCATACGAGTTCAGAAGATTAACCCCTAAGGAGCAGCAGATTCAAATCTGTGAAAGAGAATGTTTAGCTGCTGTGTGGGCCATTGAAGCTTTTGCTTTGACTGCTGGCACAGCCCCTATTATAATACAAACAACTCACTCTCCCCTGAAGTATATTTTATCAGGGAAACTGCAGGGGAAAGGAGTATCAAATACCAGGATGGCCCAATGGACCTTGATGTTAACTAGCAGAGATGTTACTTATGAGAATAACAAACCAGCCGTGATGTTACCATATGCCCTCCTTAGCTTGGTAGTCTGGTTCCAGCAGCCTCCACACGGAGTCCGAGCTCAGTTTCCTCAGTGGAGATGTAGGGTCATTTCTGACGAGCTTCTTCATTCTCGATAAATTTCTAATCCATGGGCTAGTTTTGGGCACGACTCCACCCCAGAGCTGGTGGCAGCTCATAATATAAGGCCAGATCCTCAGTTGGTGTAAATGGGTGTGTGGATGCCTTTGGACTGATGCCGATTTGCACCAGTTGGGGATCTGGGAAAAACTGAAAAACCAGTTGGGGATCACAGCAGCCCATCCCCCATGGGAAGTGGGGGACCATAGAACTTTTATTAAAAGTTCTCTTTGTTATACACAGATTCAGTGCTTCTGAGAGGGGACGTATGCCTCTTGCAGGCACCTGAGGTGGTCTGAAGTTTTCCCAGATTACTGGGTGAGGGCTCCAGCTCATTCTGTTTTGCATTGGAACCCTTAGGTATTGAACCTGGACCGGGTTGCTATCGACTCCACCTGGCAGAATTGTTACACCTGGCAAGAAAAGCAGAAAAATGACAATAGGTTCTAAGGCCACTGAGAGAGTAATGTGCCAACTGGTGGGTTGTCTCTGGGAGGCGACACACAAAGCCCCTGGATCCTGACCCATAGGGATAATGGGGCCAAGGGAAATTCTTCACGGTGCTGACTGCTCATTGGGAATGATCTGTCTGCACCGACAATCCTAGGGGACAATATGATATATTCAGATCATGACACTGCAAGAGCCAATGCCTGCCTAGCCCACAGTGAGTGACCCCTGGAGCTCCCAGGAGAGCCAAGGGAAGGGAATGTGGAGATGCCAGGACAGGGCATTCTGTTCTGGTGCCTCAGACATCTAGGATACCCCTCGATAATGACCGACTCTCACTGACACTTGTAATCACTTTCCCAGCTGGCACCCTGTCTAGGAACTCAGCAGAGGGAACTGCTTTGCACCTTTCCAGCAGTAATGGGACCCAGCTAGAGATGACTGTTTCACAGGCGGGTACTGAAACAGAGCAGAGGACCTCTTACCGTGTTGGTGCTGGTGGTGGGGACAGCAGACATGGATAGATCGGATGTCTGAGACTTTGTGCTGAACATTCGGAATCTCTTGATCCATCTCCTGTACTCCTCTCTCACCTGGAGAGTGAGAGACACGGTCACTGCACTATGTAACTAATGCTGAGAAGATCAGACATGGCCACCATGAGGCCGGTGAAGGTGCTGGGGGGTTGATGACAAGCACGGGCGTTACCTGGCGATTGAGGAGACAGTGCACCAGGAAGATGAAGGCTCCCTGTAGGCTGTTGACGATGGTGAATAAATACGCCATGACCGTGGCTGCTGGGCCGATTTGGAGGAGACCAAGGCTCCATGTGCAGCCCAGAATGAAGAGCTGGGCGATGGCTTTAAAGGTCAGTAACCTGGATAAGGGCAGATGGAGAGATCCTGCTACAATAACCCTATGGAGAGCAATTGGGTCAGGAGGATCCGAGCAGGGTAGGGTGGAGCTACCGTCCCCAACTTTCCTGTGTGGGACAGGGTTCCTGTCAATGCAAACACTATGGGAATTCATTCCCATGGATCCTAGATATGCTGTTCCCCTCCTGCAATCCCTCCCACCATCCCAGTGCCAAGGACTCTCCAAACCAAGGCATCTGACCCTCCAGGACTGTTTTGTTGCCGTCTCACCTGTGGTCTCTGACAGTGGACACATCTGCATTGAGAGAGGAGAGTTTGTTTCTCAGGATCCACAGGGTCACGGTAAAGAACGTTATATTTATCTGTGGGAACAGTGGGAAATATTTCCTGTAAAACATCCCATCCGGGGCTGGTGACTCCAGCTGAGGCAGAGACCGATCCCAAGGGACCGATCTGAGCACTGCAGAACCAGGTACTACTCATTTGCACCTTTGCAACAGTAATGGAATGGGGTTGGGGGTTCCACCACCACTGCTCCCAAAAGGAGGAGGAGGGTGGTGGTGGTCGGGGACTCCCTCCTCAGGGGGACGGAGTCATCTATCTGCGAAAACCGAAAGGTCTGCTGCTTGCCAGGAGCAAGGATTCACAATGTGCCGGAGATACTGCCAAGACTCATCAAGCCCTCGGATCGCTACCCCTTCCTGCTTCTCCACGTGGGCACCAATGATACTGCCAAGAATGACCTTGAGCGGATCACTGCAGACTACGTGGCTTTGGGAAGAAGGATAAAGGAGTTTGAGGTGCAAGAGGTGTTCTCATCCATCCTCCCTGTGCAGGGAAAAGGCCTGGGTAGAGACCGTCGAATCGTGGAAGTCAACGAATGGCTACGCAGGTGGTGTCGGAGAGAAGGCTTTGGATTCTTCGACCACGGGATGGTGTTCCAAGAAGGAGGAGTGCTAGGCAGAGACGGGCTCCACCTAACGAAGAGAGGGAAGAGCATCTTCGCAAGCAGGCTGGCTAACCTAGTGAGGAGGGCTTTAAACTAGGTTCACCGGGGGAAGGAGACCAAAGCCCTGAGGTAAGTGGGGAAATGGGATACCGGGAGGAAGCACGAGCAGGAGAGTGCAAGAGGGGAGGACTCTTGTCTCAGACTGAGAAAGCGGGACAATCAGCGAGTTATCTTAAGTGCCTATACACAAATGCAAGAAGCCTGGGAAACAAGCAGGGAGAACTGGAAGTCCTGGCACAGTCAAGGAACTATGATGTCATTGGAATAACAGAGACTTGCTGAGATAACTCACATGACTGGAGCACTGTCATGGATGGATATAAACTGTTCAGGAAGGACAGGCAGGGCAGAAAAGGTGGGGGAGTTGCGTTGTATGTAAGAGAGGAGTACGACTGCTCAGAGCTCCGGTATGAAACTGCCGAAAAACCTGAGAGTCTCTGGATTAAGTTTAGAAGTGTGAGCAACAAGGGTGATGTCGTGGTGGGAGTCTGCTATAGACCACCAGACCAGGGGGATGAGGTGGACGAGGCTTTCTTCCGGCAACTAGCAGAAGTTACTAGATCGCAGGCCCTGGTTCTCATGGGAGACTTTAATCACCCTGATATCTGCTAGGAGAGCAATACAGCGGTGCACAGACAATCCAGAAAGTTTTTGGAAAGTGTAGGGGACAATTTCCTGGTGCAAGTGCTGGAGGAACCAACTCGGGCAGAGCTCTTCTAGACCTGCTGCTCACAAACTGGGAAGAATTAGTAGGGGAAGCAAAAGTGGATGGGAACCTGGGAGGCAGTGACCATGAGATGGTTGAGTTTAGGATCCTGACACAAGGAAGAAAGGAGAGCAGCAGAATACGGACCCTGGACTTCAGAAAAGCAGATTTTGACTCCCTCAGGGAACTGATGGGCAGGATCCCCTGGGAGAATAACATGAGGGGGAAAGGAGTCCAGGAGAGCTGGCTGTATTTTAAAGAATCCTTATTGAGGTTGCAGGAACAGACCATCCCAATGTGTCGAAAGAACAGTAAATATGGCAGGCGACCAGCTTGGCTTAACAGTGAAATCCTCACTGATCTTAAACGCAAAAAAGAAGCTTTACAAGAAGTGGAAGATTGGACAAATGACCAGGGAGGAGTATAAAAATATCGCTCAGGAAGGCCAAATCACACTTGGAGTTGCAGCTAGCAAGAGATGTTAAGAGTAACAAGAAGGGTTTCTTCAGATATGTTAGCAACAAGAAGAAAGTCAAGGAAAGTGTGGGCCCCTTACTGAATGAGGAAGGCAACCTAGTAACAGAGGATGTGGAAAAAGCTAATGTGCTAAATGATTTTTTTGCCTCTGTCTTCATGAACAAGGTCACCTCCCAGACTGCTGCACTGGGCAGCACAGTATGGGGAGAAGGTGACCAGCCTTCTGTGGAGAAAGAAGTGGTTCGGGACTATTTAGAAAAACTGGATGAGCACAAGTCCATGGGGCCGGATGCACTGCATCCGAGGGTGCTAAAGGAGTTGGCGCATGTGATTACAGAGCCATTGGCCATTACCTTTGAAAACTCATGGCGATCCGGGGAGGTCCCGGATGACTGGAAAAAGGCTAATGTAGTGCCCATCTTTACAAAAGGGAAGAAGGAGGATCCGGGGAACTACAGGCCAGTCAGCCTCACCTCAGTCCCTGGAAAAATCATGGAGCAGGTCCTCAAGGAATCAATTCTGAAGCACTTAGAGGAGAGGAAAGTGATCAGGAACAGTCAGCATGGATTCACCAAGGGCAAGTCATGCCTGACTAACCTAATTGCCTTCTATGAGGAGATAACTGACTCTGTGGATGAGGGGAAAGCAGTGGATGTGTTATTCCTTGACTTTAGCAAAGCTTTTGATACGGTCTCCCACAATATTCTTGTCGGCAAGTTAAAGAAGTATGGGCTGCATGAATGGACTATAAGGTGGATAGAAAGCTGGCTAGATCATTGGGCTCAAAGGCTAGTGATCAATGGCTCCATGTCTAGTTGGCAACCGGTATCAAGCGGAGTGCCCAAGGGTTGGTCCTGGGGCTGGTTTTGTTCAATATCTTCATTAATGATCTGGAGGATGGCGTGGATTGCACCCTCAGCAAGTTTGCAGATGACACTAAACTGGGAGGAGTGGTAGATACGCTGGAGGGTAGGAATAGGATACAGAGGGACCTAGACAAATTAGAGGATTGGGCCAAAAGAAACCTGATGAGGTTCAACAAGGACAAGTGCAGAGTCCTGCACTTAGGACGGAAGAATCCCATGCACTGTTACAGACTAGGGACCGAATGGCTAGGAAGCAGTTCTGCAGAAAAGGACCTAGGGGTTACAGTGGACGAGAAGCTGGATATGAGTCAACAGTGTGCCCTTGTTGCCAAGAAGCCTAACGGCATTTTGGGCTGTATAAGTAGGGGCATTGCCAGCAGATCGAGGGACGTGATCATTCCCTTCTATTCGACATTGGTGAGGCCTCATTTGAAGTACTGTATCCAGTTTTGGGCCCCACACTACAAGAAGGATGTGGAAAAATTGGAAAGAGTACAGCGGAGGAGAACAAAAATGATTAGGGGGCTGGAGCACATGACTTATGAGGAGAGGCTGAGGGAACTGGGATTGTTTAGTCTGCAGAAGAGAAGAATGAGGGGGGATTTGATAACTGCTTTCAACTATCTGAAAGGGGGTTCCAAAGAGGATGGATCTAGACTGTTCTCAGTGGTACCAGATGACAGAACAAGGAGTAATGGTCTCAAGTTGCAGTGGGGGAGGTTTAGGTTGGATATTAGGAAAAACTTTTTCACTAGGAGACTGGTGAAGCACTGGAATGGGTTACCTAGGGAGGTGGTGGAATCTCCTTCCTTAGCGGTTTTTAAGGTCAGGCTTGACAAAGCCCTGGCTGGGATGATTTAGTTGGAAATTGGTCCTGCTTTGAGCAGGGGGTTGGACTAGATGACCTCCTGAGGTCCCTTCCAACCCTGATATTCTATGATTTCCGGTGGGAATCATGCCCTCTCCTGTAATATCCCCTAGTAGCTCTCAGTCCCTCCCCATGCATGGAGCTGACAGCACAGCCAGGGCTGAGATGGATCAATGGGATCACAGATCCCACATGCTG